TCTGGTCAGGCCCTCCCTTGGACAACACTTCTACATCCAGCCTTTCTCCAGACTCTGAGTGGATCAGAAGAACAGAGGCTTGACTGGGCCAGGCCCCGAGTGGACAGACTCACCACCACCAACACACCAGTGACTGGGAGAGCCAGCAGCACTAGCATACATAGCTAGTGCCTTCCAGTCAAAACACAGGTCCTCACACTTGTAGCAGCCATTTCCCACCTCCCTTGGGGGGTGCCTACCTTGCAGCCAGAAGTTTCTGAGGCAGCTCCATCCCGGCAGCCCACCCTTGAAAGCTGACCTGCTCACTGAGCCTTAATGTGTGCTTGTGCGTCAGGCTGTGTTGCAACTTCAGCACCAGAGATTGAACAAGATGTTTGAATTATTTCTTCTGGTTCTGTGGCCTTGCCAGAGTCCCCACCATCCCACCCCACTCCCAGTGTTTGACACATCCTCAGAAGCCAGGAAGAGCCAAAAGGAAGCTCATGTGTGTCTCATTTCTGACACACACTTGTGATGTGATTTGGGCCATCTTAGCAAGTTCCCCATTCCTGTAAGTCTTATTTTCCTCATCAAGAAACAACAGTAATAAGAGGACCTGCTTCCGGGTGTGTGAGATGTGGGGTGAGTAAAATAATCAGAGCGGGAATAGCAAGAGTGGGGTCAAACTCCCATCCCAGGCCCTGGCCACAAAAAACACCCCCTGCAAAGAGAATGGGGTTTCCCCAGCAATTTAATATTGAATTTTTTTAAATAAATAAATAAACTAAAAAAGAACTTTGTAGACTTTCATCTACAGGAGTTTAACCATGTTTTACTTAGAATTCCACCTATCAGTGCTTAGGGCTTCTCAGGCCTTAATCAGTTCGTAGAAGCAAGGCAGGCAAGGCATAGCCCAAGAAGGCTCTCAACAGATGTGAGGCCAAATCCCCAGCAGCCTCTGGCTCCTTGGCCTCTGGCTCCCCCTTTTGCTCTGGGCTCCACCGTCTTGCCCACCTCCCTGCCCACTTTACTTTTTCCAGAATGCTTTCCACCATCTGACATACTATATAGTTATTGTATTTATCTCCTATCTCCTCCACTCTTATCTCTCTCCTTCATTTTTTGGTTTTTTAACCTAGAAAAAAAAAACAATTTAGCATGGGGGGTGCCTTTTTATGGTTTTGAATTTTTATACAGGAGTAATTTACATTGAGTACAACACAGATATCTTAATTGGTGAAACACTTGAGAGTGACAACCGCTCAGGTAAAATGATTTCCATTACTCTCAGAAAGTTCTGCTATGCTCCATTCCAGGAAATGCTTCCAAAAGATAAACCCTGTTATCACTTTTATCCCCACTGGTTAGTTCTTCCTGTGTTTAAACATCACGTAAGGAGAGTAACAAGTAGGTGTCATTTGTCTGGTGTCTTTTGTTCAACATTATGCCCAGGGATCTTTGGAGATGAGCAGAGTACTGTTGGGAGTCTCCCTGAGAACTCCCAGGCCTTTCAAACATGGCGGTGGGCAAATTGCTAGTGGGCAGCTAGAATTCCCTGGGCCTTTTAGATAAGGAGCCCCTAATGCAACATGGTGGTGGGCAAGTTGCCAATGGGCAGATAACAAGTTGTTTTGAAAACCTTCTAACTGGCCCTCCTGTCTTCCTTACTCGTGGCCAGTTTGTGCCCCCTATGAATCTTATGCAGGGTGGACGTGGGTGCATCATAAGTGATGACCTGACCTTTACTATGATTGGCCCCAGGAGCTTCCTGGTTTAAGATAACTGACTCTCACTTTCTATATAAGCTAGCAGCAGTTTGTAATAAAGTGCTTCATCTTTGTCACTGCTATCTGTGTGTGTGCATTTTAATCTCCGACGACGAACCTTGACCTTTCATTGGTATATTGAGAAAGCTTTTTCCCTCTAGCTAGTTCACATGCTCTTGAGGCAGCTATAAGTTCTGCTTGTTGCTTGGTTGTGTTGGGATTGAGGCAATGAATGGCGCAGGAAGGCACCAGTCTGCGTGTTCCCTTAGGAGTTTGTGTAGAAGTGTGAGATAGGACAGGTAGGACACAGGGGGAGGAGAAGTGATTGAAAAGCTTTGGGTGGTTAAGAAAGGGCTCCCATAGAGTTGCTCAAAGGGGCTAAGGCCTGAGGGGGCCCTTGGGGCTTCCTGAATTCAGGTGAGGTCCAACAGCAGGAGATTGGGCCTAAGTTCAATAGCAAGTTTAGTGAGATAATCCTTGAGAATGCCGTTAGGCCTTTCAACTTTACCCAAGGATTGGGGTTGGTAGGAGATGTGGAGCTTCCAAGTGATGTTGAGGCCTTTGGAGACTAGTTGAACAACCTGAGTACTGAAGGCCAGGCTGTTGTCTGACTGGACGGAGGCGGTAAGTTCGAACCTGCGAATGATCCGCTCAATGAGAATGGAGGCAACAGTGTCAGCAGTTTCCCTGGATGTAGGGAAGGCTTCTATCCAACCTGAAAAAATATCAACCAAAGTAAGTAGGTAGCAAAGCTTTTTGTGCCTAGGCACAAGAGTGAAGTTGATCTACCAGTCTTTGCCTGGCTAGTGGCTCCTCATCTGAGGTGTGGGGAATTTAGGTTTGATGCTTCCTTGTGGGGATGCTGTAGAGCAGACAGAATAAGCAGAGTGGACCTGCTGGAGAGTAGTTCTCATTCCTATGAAGTGAAAGAGGGGTTGTGAAAACTGGAAAAAGGGGTCAGAGAGGGTTATAGATGGGCACAGAGTCTCTGGAGCTAGAGGAGTTGGTCATGAGTCATAGGTCTCCATCTTGGGCACCAGGGCTGGTAGTCTTAAAGAAGTAGTCGATTGACTGACTGGTTGGTGAATCTATATATCTGATCCTGCAGGAACTTCTGTAGGCAGTTTAACAGATGTGATCCTATTAGTGGTCCTATTAGGAGAAACATAAAGAGGACTAATAGGGGTCCTGCGAGGGGGAGGAGCCAAGGCCATACTTGACTGAACATTCCCCATGGAGACTGTTGGCTAGTTGCTGTCTCCTCTTTTCTAGCTGTTTTTGTCTTTCATTACTCCTAGGAATGACTTTTTGGCTTAACTGTGTTTGGTAGGTGTTTAAGATCAAGCTGGTCAAAATTGACTTTGTTTCTATCTATTGTTAAGAATCAGCCAAGTTCCCATAGGGGTTGCTGGTGGGGGAACTTGAGAGCAGCTTCTTAGTTCTGTTGGTGCCATTTGCGCTAGGATGGGTCCAGGTCTTGCTTGACCATGTGGCTTCCCTTGGAAGCATCAGGGATGTCTCTCTTCTCTGGTGACCCTCCTATTCACAGCAAATGCACGGATTGGCTTTTCATTCTCCAGTAGTCTCATTAATCTCCCTGATCAGGAGGTTATGTGGCCCAGAGTTGCAAAGCTCTTTAGAGAAGTTCCCTGTTCTCTGTATTCAGATTGACTCAAAGGACAAGAGCCAAATATTGGTTTTCTTGGCCATTTTAATTTAACTTTAAATCTTGATCATAAACATCCAGCAAAGTCAGTTTCACTTTAAATTAAGAGTACTGGGCTTTACCTGAAGTTGTAAGGGGGGTCCGGCAGAACGTCGGAGGGAGAAACCACACAAGAGACTTACTCCATGCAATTGGCAAAAGGGGATTTATTGGGGATCCATTCCAGTGCGCTGGGACTCTGTGCCCACTCAAGAAGGGAGAGCAGCCCAGAGCCCAGAGCAAAGGTCAAGCAGAGCTTAAGTACACTTTTTGGAGAGGGCGGTGGGCTTTGCATACATCAGAACAAATCATCATGAGGCACGGGAAAATTGAACAACAACTCTGAGACGTGATTGGCAAATTCATTGGCGGGAACAGCTCGGGCGGGGGTGATTGGTCATTCCTAAGGGGGGGGTACACATTCAAACTGATTGGTTCGGGCCCTGTGAAGAACTGCACAGGGCCCTAGGCTAAATTGCCAGTAGGGCGTTGTTTTAACTATCTCAGGAATCTGGGTGTAACAGAGGAACTTAATAATACCTGATCTTTTACATTCAAGCTTTCCAGCTTAGAAACTTTACCCTTTCAAAGTGTGGCCTACTTTGGAGTCATTCTTACATGTAGTAAGATGGGAGGCACAGCTTTATCTCAGGTAAGGCGGGGCTCTTCATAAATCTTAAGTGCTATAGTTCTGAAGCTGATCTTCACTTTTTAAATATCATTTTACAAAGATTAAATAAATTGTTGCTCAAGTTCACATGAATACTAGGCAATACAATATAATATCACATCTAAACATGAATTAAAGAAATTAATTAAAGCTTTTAACCTTTTGTAGAAAAGTAGCAAAGTACTTTTGTGTTTTGCAGTACACAATTAATCACATCTGCTGACTATTTCATGAAAACATAAACAATGTTTAAGTACATGGAATTATACTGTTGTAGGGACAGACAAGGCACTTAAGATAACAACGTAGATAAGGAAACAGTCCTATTTGGTTGCAACCGGATTCCGACGGCACTGCTTCTATTGTAATCAATTAATCCCTGAACCTCAAGGTTAGGTAGTTTCTGAATTTTGCATCCAGCATGTAAGGGGAGGGGCTCAGAAGTTCACAGTCTGCAGAAGTTCACAAAAAGCAGTTTTGTTTTGTTTTGTTTTTTTCTGTTCTGAGCAAGTTAACTTTTCAAGGACACCAGAGAGGGGGAGAGCTTTTTCTTCCCTTTCTTTCCTCCCCCTGCCAGCTGTTCCCATGGAGCCCAGTTGGTAACTTCCTTATCTTAGAAATGTAACCATCTCTGTGAAGCCCAGTTCAAGGCCAGAGGCCTTGTTCACATATTTTGTGAAAAACTAATAAGGGGGTGTCTAGCTTTAGGAGTGCTGATTTTTCCAGCCAGTGGCCAAGTAGAACAAGGCAACACGAAAAGAGAAAGTTTATCTACACTGAACTCTTTTATAGGGATTCTTTTGCTGAAAGTCCTAAAATCAGCCATGGTGAAGACTTCTGGAGAAGGTCAGTTAAGACTTTTCTGTGGGCCTGGGTAGGGAGGGGGAAGATGGGAAGGCGGGTCTGAGAGCATCTCTGGTGGATCTGAGAATGAGGAAGAAGAAATGTAAAAGAATAATGGGAAATGGGTTGGGGATTTTCCCTAGCAATGAAAAATTGAGAAGTAGAACAGGTAGAGCAGAGGGGAAGATGGAAGTGAGTATCCCAAAAAGCCTGTGAGGGGCATTAAATTCTTAATAACCTGTTTTCAGTGATGACAAAGCATCATTTTCACCAGATCTTGAATAGGGGTCTGAGGGCTCTCCTCATCTGCTTTGAGCTTTAGGTTAGCTGGTAAGAGGACCTGGTGGGACCCGGTGTGGGCACTGACAGGAGAAGAGAGGAGTGAATGGGTAGAGGGGTACCTCAATACCTGCTACCTCAGCAAGGGGGCAATGGTCTGAGAACTGGCGGAGGTTTGTGTTTTTGATCTAGTAATTGGAGAGGAGAAATCAGATTGCTGAGGTGGGAGTGACAGCAGAGAGTCTGGAGCAGAAGGCTGAGGGTGAGGATCTATTGGAGAAGCATAGTTCAGGGTGGAAGGGAAGGAAGGAAAATATCTCCACATAGAGGAATCTCCTTCCACCCTTTTGAGCACTTGCAGAAGTTAAAAAGGTCACATAGAATTTGAGGATCTAGAGACCCCTCTAATTGGTAATATGGCCAATTCTATGTACTGAATTTGATGAGGAGTTTGGGTTTGAAGTCAGGAGTGAAGGACAACCAATTCAGGTTAGCCAGGAGGCATTTGAGAGGGGAATCAGCAGGGAGGGAAGAAAAGGCTCCCATGATGACTCTCGGCAGGAAGAGAAGAGGTGAATGGCCTGGACTGGAACAGAATTTGGTTGAGTTTCCTACAGGTGTCCTCGAAAGGAGAAGTCAACCAAAGAGACTCGGGACAGCCAGGGCTGGGAGGGCAAATGAGTCGTCACCTAATAGCCCAACCAGCAAGACCTTTTGAAGGCCAGGAGTCACAGGCCACCTGACGCCAGGGTTTTTCCAGGAGAGGAGAAGAAGATAAACAGAGTCAGAGAGTGCCTATTCTTCTGTCCCTTATAGCTCATCAACCATGAAATGGGCATCCAGAGAGTCCACCGTAACTGTGAAAGTTGTGGTGGGGTGTGTTCTCTCCTCCAAACTAGGCATCAAGGGCCTTGCTGGACATTCACAGCTAAAGCCTTTGCATATAGCTGTTTGGAGATGGATTCCCAAAGATGGGGAGGGGGACTCACTGGTTGTTGATCAGAAGGAGTTACCTATTGGAGGGCCAGTGTTGGGTGGAATGTAGCAGTGCTCAAAAAGGTGAATGAGGACAGCAAACCTTGAAAGAGGGGGTCCTCAGAATGAGGAATTTCCCCTCCCGGATCTCGGCACCAATGAAAGGCCAAGGTTCATCTCAGAGATTAAAATGCACACACACAGATAGCAGTGACAAAGATTGCTGCAGTCTGGCTGGGCACAAATCACGGAGCCGCCACAAAGCACTTGTATCTACAAACAGGAAACTTTATTGCCTGAATTCCAACAGCACACTCCACACACGCTCCCTGGGCACTCTCCCAAATGCCATGGGGCTCCTCCAGCAACCACCAACCGGAAATCCCTCCTCCGGCACTTCCCCAACCAATGAGAACTCTTCAGGAATCACCACAAGAGCTCTACCAGAACTCAACAGGAACTCCGCGAGAACTCAAAAGTCATCATCTTAATGGCTTGCTGGCGTCACCTCTCAACCACTACTTCTGGCAAAAATGCCATGCGTCATCCCGACTCAGCTATGGCCCTCAACAAAAGATGAATCACTTTATTGCAAACTGCTGCTAGCTTATATAGAAAGTGAGAGTCAGTTATCTTAAACCAGGAAGCTCCCGGGGCCAATCATAGTAAAGGTCAGGTCATCACTTACGGTGCACGCACGTCTGCCCTGCATAAGATTCATGGGGGGGCATGAACTGGCCACGAGTAAGGAAGACAGGAGGGCCAATTAGAAGGTTTTCAAAACAACTGGCAACTTGTCCGCTGCCATGTTGCATTAGGGGCTCCTTATCTGAAAGGTCCAGGGAGTTCTAGCCGCCCACTGGCGATTTGCCCACCGCCATGTTTGAAAGGCCTGGGAGTTCTCAGGGAGACTCCCAACAAGTACTGTCTGCTTAAGAGGTGATAGGGCTGACCTACTTGTTGGCTGGTGCTACGCCTGTCTCTAAATATACCCAGCACATTGAGGATCTGTCCAGTCTGGTTACTGTGCATAACAGAGGTGATAGAGTTGGAGCACTTCTAGAAGGAATTAGAAAGGCCTAAAACTGGATGCCAGCATTCCAGCTGAATAGCTTTGCTAGCTCATTGCTGAGTATGGCCAAGCTTAAGGAACTCCTTCACAGCCCTGGGATTCAGAGGACAGACAGCAAGACTGACAGCAGCTAGTGCTTATACCTTAACACATTTACTCCCCCCTCACCCACCTCCACTTTCTACCAGCTCAAGCCCTACCCCTTCTCTCCAACCCAGACTGTTCCAGTTTCTGCATGCCCTTGCCACACCTCTGACAGCCCAAACCCTCACCACTCTGCAAAGGGCATGGTAAAGGAGGAAAGTGACAGTTTCCTAAAGGCTACAAGGAAAAAAGACCGGAGTCCTGGAAGTTGGGTGGGTGGGGATAAAATGCACTTGGAAGCAGAAAGCATAGGACTAATTAAGCTCCAGGTAGAGAAATCTCTGTTGTAAACATCCTGATGCACCGTGAGGGGTTGGCCAAGAAGACAAGTTTATGAAGAGATAAATGTGGGAGAAGAGGATGGGATAGGCTGTCTTCTGGAGGTTGTCAGTTTGGAAACCAGAGTCCCTGCTGGCCACAGTGCTGGGTACTGTGGTACCTCCTTTATGTGTTCATTGAGAGAGTATTCACTGAAGCACCACTGCCTACCCAGCACTCCAATAGGCGTCCTCGCTAAAGTAACAAGTTCTTTGATAGGTTCTTCTTTAGCCAGCAGAATAAATAAAAGTATCAAAGGTTTCCAGGAGCAAGTTTGGGGTTGAGGGGGGTAGCTCAGTGGTAGAGTTCTTGCTTTAGCATGCATGTGGCCCTGTATTCAATCCCCACTACAAAAAATATTAAAAAGAGAGGGAGAGAGGGAGCTGCCAAACCTGATTTTTATTTACAACTGTCACTCTAGCAGTGGCCAAGGCAAAGAAGGGCCCAGTTGCAGTGACTGTGAAGGGGCAGAGGGAGAGAACCCCACAAGCTAGGTGGAAGAGGGAACCTAAGCAAAGAATGGGTATTATGGTAAGAGCCCTGGGAAGGCAGAGCTTAAGGAAGCTGGAAACCCTGGACACAGAGACTCGGGAAAGGAGGACTCAAACCTACCTTAGGATTTCTAGCCAAGGAAACTGACAGAGTAAGGGCCACTTGACAGAGTAGTGGGAGGCAAGGTGGGCAGATCTGGTAAGTGGAGATAAGAAGAGCACTAGGTTGTGCCTACTTCCCCCAGGACCCAAGCCTCTCTTGTCCAGGGCCTCCTCCCTGGCAGGCTTCCAGTGGGTGTTGTCACTTAAGGGTAGGAACTAAGAAGTTGAGAGGCAGGAACAGGCCATAAATATATCTCTAACTCTGTTCACATCTTTCAGACAATCCTCAGAGCCCTATCAGGACCTGATCCAGCTCCAGATCCTGGGGAACTAAGAACCATGCTGAGCTTCTGTGAGTACCCAGAGGGAGCCCACAAGGCCAGGATTCTGGGCTATCCCTCTTCCTCCCAGTCTTCCTTTCTTATCTCCCATTAACCTGCTCTGGTGATCCTGCTTTCCAAACCAATAGGGGACAAAAAAATCAGAAATTATGCATGTTTTTTTTCTTTTTAATTGACATGTAATAATCGTGCACAGCTTCTATTTAGAGTAGACAGGAAATATCTGATTTTTAACCCTCAGAGCAAGCATCTGGGCTGCTTAGTAGTCCCCCCACCTCCAAAACAGAACACAGCAATTCTTTAAGGCAGGTTGTTGATTCGCTCAGCAGGCATGTGGAGGGGCGCTAGGGCTGTGGGTCTGGTGTTGTTTTCTCTTTGCAAATAGTAAATGCCTGTGTGTCTCCATGGATTTCTGGGTCTGGTTTCTTCTGTGTGAGATCAAGACTATTCTGGATTGTTTTGATAGCTCCTCAAGCAAAGATACTCTGTTCTGTTCTCTATGGCCAGGGAGGAGCCCTCTGCCCTAATGAGCTGACTCTACAGAGCTGACTCTACAGGGCAAGACAACTGATAGAAGAGGGGGCTTTCTCCATGGAAACTCCCCCCGCCACCTCTGAGAAAACACCCCAAAGCATTTGTGTTTCCTAGAAGGTCCAGCCATGAATCTATGGTTTCCTTAAAGAATGGAATTGCTGACAATTTCAAGTACCATTTTCAAGTCATACAGAGATGCCATTGGAATGATCAGTGCATGTATGCATGTGTGTGAATCATCACACTGAATCCTATGAATATGTAAAATCAATATATATTAATCAAAAAATAAAATAGACTGTATGTGGCACATGCCAGTAATACCAGCTATTCAGGAAGCTGAGGCTACAGGATTCTAAATTAGAGGCCAGCCTGGGCAACTTGGCAAAATAAAAAAATTAATTTTTTTTTAATTTGGAAGGGTTAGGAATATAGTTCAATGGCAGAGTCCTTGCAAAGCATATGTGAGGTCCTGGGTTCAATCCTCAGTACCATGAAATAAATTAATTAGTAAATAATAACAATAAAAATGTTTTTGGAAGACTAGGTATGTAACTCAGTGGTACAGCACCGGCCTACCATGTGAAAGGCCCTGTATTCAATCAATAAGTACCACAGATAAGCAAGTAATGAATAATTATAAACATCCCAAGGGACTGGGGGGAAAAAAGACCAAAACTTGGGATTTCAGAATGAGTCAGATTCTACTCTCTTTTCAAAGAAAGAGACAAGGAATAAACCCTATTCCCATTCCTTGAAGAAAGAAAAGATGTAGGATTCCTGAGGGCAGAGAGAGGCTGAATTCTGAAGGGTGTGCATGTGTGTGGACAGAGTAAAAGGAATGAGAAAGCCAAACACACAGGTTCACAGAAGGAAGCTGGAGAAGCAGGTGAAGTCCTCAGCCAGAGACAGGGGAAAGGTGGATGGAAGGATCCCCCCCCCGAAAAAAGGGGGGAATGTTTTCTCTGATAGGTGGACCCTAACCCACAATAGAAGGAAGAGTGAGGGGAAGACTAGAAGAGCGGTAGACAAAGAGGAATTGAGGGAAGGGAGGAGAGATGAGCAAAGTAGACAGTGGAATGAATCTGACACAGTTTTCCCGCGTACATGTGTGAAAACAACACAGTGAATCTCACCACCATGTACATCCTTAAAACTGGGATTCTAACTAGAGTAACATATACTCCATGCTTGCATAATCATAGCAAAGTGGATATATAATTGAAAAGAACCAAAAATAAATATTTTTTAAATGGTGGTCTCAAGGACTAGAGAGCACAAGTCCAGGATGGGCACTGCCCACCAGCTGGAATCTGTGATGAAATACAGAGGCTAGAGGCCCAAAGCCTCTCTGTGCACACATCCTTCCCTCTGTCTATCCAACTGTCCATCCATGCACTCATTTATTTGTGCCCCATCTTTCCATCCACTAGTTTTTCTACCATCCCTATATTCCACAAATACGTTAGGTGCTTCTCAGGAGGCACGCTCTGTTCAGTAGGGATTGATTTCTGTTTCAAGATGGAGAAGACAAGAGGTTAACAATTATCTAACATACTCCATGCAAGAATCAGCAGGACCACACAAACTTAATGGTGATGATTTAAATGAAATGGGAGAGTGAGAAATTATACCCAGAAGGAGACAAATGATGGGTCCCTCTGTGCCTTTATTTTCTGTAATGTGAATACCAATCCTATGACAAACCAAGAAAGAAGGGTAGCCCAAATTAAATAAAAATCCTGAGATTGAAGACCAGGGGACATTCACACATTCCTTGTGTGGATTTACATGAAAAGCAAATGTGGGTGGGGATATAGTTCAGTTGATAGAGCACTTGCCTAGCATTTGCAAGGCCCTGGCTTTGATACCTAGCACCAAAAAAATTTTAAGAAGAAAAATGAATACAAATTTTCTTCCAAGGTCTGTGGCTATCTGTCCTGAGAGAGTTGGGTAAGAACCAATCATCTTTTCTTCTCCACACGGAGGGGAGAAGAAAAATAGACTATATTAGTCAGCTCAGGTTGCCATAATAAAATACCACAGACTGAGTTGCTTAAATAAGAGAAATTTATTTTCTCATGGTCTGGTGTCTGGCTGTCCCAGATCAAGATGTCGGCAGGTTTGATTTAAGGCCTCTCTTTGGCTTCCTGATAACTATCATCTCATTGTGCCCCCACAAGTTATTTCCTCTGTGTACACATCCCTGGTGTCTCTTTCTATGCCCAAATTTCCTCTTCTTATAAAGACATCATAAATAGGATCTATCCTAACAGCCTCCTTTTACTTTAATCAACTGTTAAGGGCTTCTATCTATAAATAGAGTCACTATTATGAAGTACTAGAGATTAAGGCTTCAACATATGAATTTTGGGAATATGCAATTCAGCCCAGAGCACAGATAAATAGTTTTGAAAATAGGAACAAAATAATCACAAGACTTACACCTTTTATAGGACCCTAGGGGGAAGTTATGGCACATCTCTCTGAACAGAGCCAGAATATAATGGAAGACAAGTGTGGAAATGGAGGCTAGGTCTAGAAAATTCTTTAACCTCAATAATCCTTGGTCATCTCTAAGAGATGACCCCAGGATGTTCCTCTGGGTCTTGGAAAGCTGGTAGCCTACCATGCACACCTCAGAGAATGTAAGTTTATTAAACAATGTCTTCAGACTCTCCATCCTTACCCCATCCTTCCATAGGTGCAGTGAATTAAGGTCTTCCCATTGTAACAAACATTTTATCAACCCCAAGGGGGAGATAGGGAAACCCAACGTGAAGGGTAGAGCTATCTCACCTGTCTTCTAGTCAGCGGAGGGCTTGGCCTCCTACATGGAAGTCCAGCTGGCTGAGGTGATGGCAGGTCCTCGGGGACAGATTTGCAGCCTGTGTCTCTCCCTGAATGGATCTCCCCGTGGAAAGCAAGAATGGGAGGGTCCACGGCTAATGCACACTCTGGTAGGGAGGAAAGAAACAGGAATTCCCAGGATGTTGCATTACAGGTTCAGTGACATGATCCTCCACTGATCAAGGATTAAGGCTGGCTTCCTTGGTCCCCAGCTATTTGTCTGACTGCCATCTCCCCAAGTATGTTCCCAGGCTTTCTGGCTCTGGCCCTTCTGTCTGTGCTGGGCGTGAGTACCCAGGGCTTTGATGATGACCTTGTCAAATGCTTTGAAGACCCCCAGTATGAAGAACTACTACAGCTGGCTCAAGATGGGCTGGGGCCGACAGCTGAAAAGAAACGGATAGTGGTGATTGGGGCAGGCATGGCTGGACTCACAGCTGCCAAGATTTTGCAGGATGCTGGCCACCAGGTACACAAGGGTGCTTGGGAGAGTACCTCACAGGGATCCTGGACTCTGAGCAGGGAGGTGGCTGCAGGTGGTAGATAGCCCAGTGGAACTGGAGCCAAAGACTAAGTCTAGGATTCTAGGCTGGGATGGAAGGGGTAGGAGAGCAATTGGTCTGTCTCTATGACAGAGAGAGACTTCAGAAAGAGGCAAATCTGGGCCTAGCTGGAGGGAGGAAGACGGGGGTTGTATGGCGGGGACACGGCTGGCCTAGTTGTGTTCTATAAATACTTATTTTTCTAGGTGACTGTCCTGGAGGCTTCAGGGCGTGTAGGTGGCAGAATTGAGACCCATAGAGTTCCTGGAACACAGTTGTACATAGAGTTGGGTGCCATGAGGATCCCCATCAACCACAGGTATGATTGAGAGAAGTGGGGGTGGATGGGGAAGACCAGGATATGGGCTGCTAGCAACAAGGACAGGACCTATGCCAACTCATTTCATAGCTCCACAGCTACCTCGAAACCTCTCCCAGCATCAATGTTCTAATATAGAGAACAGACATAGCTGTACCTGTTGAGGATCACAAAAGATAATTGGGATAGGAGAACACCTGGGAAAGTCAAAAGGCAGTCTGTGAGGCCTGTTAATGATAGAAATATGAACATCCTTGTGGGAGAAAGTGGTGTCTTGTGGGAGCCCACTTCGGGAGGGCCATCCTGAAGGGGTGGTTGAGCAGGAATTAGGAGAATGCAGACTGGAAGACTCATGATACACACAGCCTCCAGGGAGGATAAATCCAGAGGACACTCCCTCTACACATCTTCATAGTATCTCCTGGACCTGGAGGGGCCACACCTAAAAGTCTGAAGGCTTCAAGTCTTGCACAAAGTGAGAGAGATCTCAGCCAGCAAAGAGGGCCAGCCTGTTGTGCTGTGACCACAAGAATGGGGACCCAATTTCCTCTTGGTCACATAGCCATAGCTTGGTATAGCAACTCAGTGCTAAGTAGCCAGTGTTCCTTCTGTAGAGGGGGGTTAGAGAGGGCCCCAGGGAATCCAGTAGGGGCAGGACGTGAGCACAGGAAGCAGGGAAGACTGGTTGCTTTCTCATCCTGGATCAGTCTCTGACTCACTCCACAGGCTCTGTCATGAGTTTATCAGGAAATTGGGGCTGACCCTCAAGGAGTATTTCCCCTCCAACAACCAGACCTGGGTGCTGATCAATGGAGTACGGCAGCGCACAGGGATTGTGCAGGCTGACCCCAGCCTGCTAGAGTACTCAGTCAAAGCAGATGAGGTGGGGAAGACAGGTGACCAGCTCTTTCATGAAGCATTGAGAAAGGTAAGCCAAGTAGGAATCAGTGACCTCCATGCAGGCCATCACCTTCTTCAAAAACATCTTGTGCAAACTTCCTAAAGTTTCTCTCTGTGGACCCCAGGCCCATGTGCAGGAGGGCTCCACTAGCTTGGTCTGTCAACCTTGCCTCCCTCCCATGACCTCCCATCTCAGCATTCATTTTGCATTTTCAGATCCCAAAGGTCTTCACATGTACAGATATGTGCAAAGCTAGCTGCCTTTGAGATCATCATGGCAGATCTAGGTTTAAGGCAGAGAGAGACCTACAAGCTGGACTCTATTTGAATGTACTGTGTGACCCTGGACAAGATGCTTGCCATCTCTCTGTTCCAACTTCTATAAAACAATCATACTGCTAGAGCCAGTCTCTCTCAGCCTGGTTGTGAAGATTAAGTGAGAAGATGCATATAAAGTGATAAGAACTTTGCAAGGCATATGGCCAATCTTGAATTATAATTGAATTATAATTGTCATCATTATTGATATGTGGTCAAGAAGGAAAATCAATGATGGGCCCTGTCTGGAATACCTGCATGCCTTCTTCTAACTGAACAATGTTTACTCAGCACTGACAGTGCCTTTTGCTTTCCTGACCTGTGACCCAAAAGGACCTCAGTGTGACAGCTGAGCTCTGGGACATAGCTTCCACAGGAGGCCTCTGTCCAGATGCCCTGCCTTTGCTGGAGTGATATCCTGCTAAGCTCAGCATACAATCCGCAGCTCTTGGACCTCATCCAGTGTCACTCAACAGCTCAGTAGGACCAAGCCCTTAGGCATCCACACCATTCACAGTGGCCCCAGAGGCCTGCAGAAATGTCCTCAGACAAGGACAAGGAGATAGACTTCCCCAATTCTGGGGGCTCCAAGGCTGACAGGGAGCCTGGCTCCAGCTTTATACACCTCAGAGTATGTGCAAGAGAGGGGATAATGTTTCCATCCTCAAGTGCCCCAATCCAGCTGTAGGACTGAGTGTTGCATTCAGGACTAATATAAAGAATGCCTCAGACACATCCAGGATGAGTGGAAGCAAGTGCCAAGCGTGGAATATGGGGGTATGTGGGAGCAGGGTCTAGGGTAGGTGTGGGGAACTGACCTTCACTAAAGTGTCCACCCCTCTTCCTTCTTCCATGCCAAGCTGGTGGAGGAGCTGAAGAACAGTAGCTGCAGCCAGATTCTGGAGAAGTATGACTCCTTCTCCACCAAGGTCAGTCCTGAGGCTCCCCTCTAACCACGGCTAACCATGCACCACCCTGTCACAGCTACCCAGAAACCAACCCAGTGGGACGACCCACCCTAGTACTTAATACACTACACCTTACTTGTTTATCTTTTTGTATAATCTCTCTCCTTTACTTGAATGTAAGCTCCATTAGGACAGGAGAGAGTAGAGAGAAAGGTAGGAAGGGAGGGAAGAAAGAAAATTTTTAAAAAAGACCACCCCAAGGACAGCAGTCAAAGGTCAAAGATATAGCAAGTCAGAGCATGCTATTTCAAGGAACTTGCCACCATCACTTGCATTTTTGCAGAGAGTCAAAGGCAGGTAGAGGTATGGGAACGCCCTCATACAGTTATGTGTTGCTTAATGAGGGGGATAACGTCACAGAAGTGCATCCTTAGATGATGACATAGTTCAGTAAAAATCATAATGCTTAGTTACACAAAGATGGCTACAATGTCACAAGGCTATATACTTTCTTGGGACCACTGTCCTATATGTGGTCCATCATTGATGTACTCATGGCTGTAGTGCAAAAGAGAAGACTGGGGCTGGAGGAATAGCTCAGAAGAAGAACACTTGCCTGACGTGTGCTAGGCCCTGGGTTTAATCCTCACACCACACACACACACACACACACACACACACACACACACACACACACAGCCACAAGGGGAAGGTTTCAGATGTACCTCAATTGGAGGCTATTGGCATGGAGAAGCTGGAGGCAGTTAGCTGGAAAGGGAGCACCTGTGATTGGCTAGGGGAGGACAGTTGGCCTCCAATGGTTGTTCCTGAGATGGGAGCAAAGTGGGCAAGGGGGGGCATAAATTTGGACAGCTGAGGAGGAAGCTGAATGGTTATGAGGAGATCCTAACCATTCATGGCCGACTGCTCCAATAGAGGTGGCAGTTTGCCTTTCTGAACTGGGTGCTTCAGAAATTGGGTGGGTCAAAGTCCTGTGATATCTGATCAGTCACCCTGATTGGTGAAACTTTTCCAGCCAGATTTGTCATGTCCAGGACTTGCCTGGGAGAAAGGAGCAGGGGCAAACCACAGGGCACATTCACAGGCCAATGGATATACTAGAAGTAGAACCTCATAGTCACTTTCTGGTGCAGCGGCCAGGACAGCCAGGTAATGGGTAGGAGTAGAGGGTCAGGGCAGGATGAGAAGCAATACTTGGTATTCACCTTCCTCCTGGCTTGGTGTTTTGGGTAGATCAGAGAGGCCAGTCTGGGCCCCATACAGTTACAGATGGACATGAAGACTGGACCTCAGCTTTCCCATCTGTAAAATAGGGCTTCTTTGGATTATATAAGAGGATTATACAAGTAAAGGGCTTGGAAGAGGGTCTGTAGGTTAAAATCCATACCAAACGTTAGCTATTTGTCCCTATTATTAGGACTTGGAGACCATTTGGAGCATTGTCCTCAGAGCCCTGTGTGAAAACCAGGCACCTGGGATCCAGCTGAGTGCACTTCTGTCATTCCACCCTGTCCAGTTCTGTTCCTCGTTACCCCCAGGTGGGAGGCAATGGCTCTCATGTCGGCTCCCTGAACATTCTGACCTGGTTGCCTTCTTTCCCTGAACGTGATCCCAGGAGTACCTGATCAAGGTGGGGGACCTGAGTCGTGGGGCAGTGCAGATGATCGGGGACCTGCTGAACACAGACTCTGGCTACTACGAGTCCTTCATAGAAACTCTGCGTGACCTGATCATCTTCTCTCAGGAATCTCGGTGGGAAATGGGGGGAGAGAATGGGCACAGGGTGGCCAGTTACTAGTGAGGACAGGGGTAGAAGGAAGGACAAGATAAATCAGGTGATAACTCCAAGAAAAGTGAGAGTGACAGGAGAGGAGGCAGGTTCTGAGGCAATGCCCCTCAGAACCACCAGAGGGAGGGTGCTTCTTCAACATGGGCATCACTTCCAAAGTCAATGGACCTTCGCTGAGACCCAAGAACATGCATTTCTGACATATTCCAGTGACATTGCTATCTGACTTGGGAGCCCACTTTGAGAACCTCTAGCTAGGGGGCTCTTAGGAGCCAACAGATCTGCTTTACTCTGGCCCTTACCTCTTCTTCTGTGACAAAGAGCATGACCTCAGTCCTACTTTAGAGGTTCATGCAAGAGTAACTTGCTATCTCTCAGACCTGAAAGATAATCAGGGCTGCCAAATTCAGACCCTAGTCACCCTGGGTAACTGGCTATGTGATCTGTAGCTAATGAAGATCAAATGAACTGAGACTTACTCTCACTTGGGGTTCTGTGACCCATTTCAGACGAAACAGGTTCTGACATTTGCCAGAGAACTAAGCCTGGGAGAGCCCTGATGGATTACAGACCTCTTCTTTCCCTACCTGCATCCTCCCACTTCTCCTCAGCATTTTTATTCAGAATTAATCAATTTAACTTCAAGCCAACGGCTGCCATAGGGGGAGAGAGGAAGGTGAGGAAGTCTGAAGACAGATCAAGGTCAAATGAAGGTTCTTGGTGGTGTTTAGGCTGCAATCTTTAAGGCTACCCTGTGCTGCACTCTGTAAGGACATCATGGAAGGGGTTGAATCCATACGTAAGAATCCTGGGTCTTTGTCAGCCACGAGACCAGGCATCTTCCATGGAGGTGACCACCAAGGGGACCAGAGGAAAGTAACAAAGAATAAGGGGCTATAGAGGCTCAGAGGGTTACATTTTTCTGATTGATCAACGCAAAGCAACACTTTTCTCTAATTCCCTAAAGCTGACATTCTGCCTGCTGTTAATCCTTTTGCTAACTGTTAAATCTCCCCAACACATGAGTGGTACAGTCCATTAGGGAACTCAGCCTCTGTCCAGTCCAAATGACCTGTCCTCTGTATGCCTTGTCCAACTACCTGTTTCTCTTTCCTTCTTTGCTTGCTCATTCTCAGGTTCCATGAAATCGTTGGAGGCTTTGACCAACTCCCTCAGGCCCTTCATGGTGCCCTCTTGCCAGGGACAGTCTTGTTTCACTCACCAGCAGAGGAAGTAGAGATGTCTGGAGACCATGTCCATGTCACTTTCAGGACAGCTGACCCTTTGCAGCCCAGGTCACGTCTGACTGCCGATTTTGTGGTGGTGGCCACCACTGTCAAGGCTGCCCGGCTCCTCCGTTTTCGGCCACCCCTCTCTCTCAACAAGGAGAATTCATTACGTTCAGTCCACTACACCAGCGCCACCAAAGTGATCCTGGCCTGCACACAGCGTTTCTGGGAGCAAGAAGGTATATTCGGTGGCAAGTCTTGCACTGACCGCCCCGCCCGCTTTATCTACTATCCCAGTCACACCTTCCCCAATGGCACAGGTGTCATCCTGGCTTCCTATACTGTGAGTGATGATTCCATGTTCTTTGCTGCCATGGACGATGCCCAGGTGGTAGATGTCATCTTGGATGACCTAGCTGCTGTCCATGACCGCCCCAAAGAACAGCTCCGGGCCCTGTGCCCCTATTCCATGGTCAAGCACTGGAGCCAAGACCCCTATTCCTTGGGAGCGTACACCTCCTTCACTCCCTACCAATATGTGGACTACGCACAGGAGCTCAGCCATCCAGAAGGGCGGGTCCACTTTGCTGGTGAACACACAGCCCTGACCCATGGCTGGATTGACACAGCTATTAAATCAGGGCTCAGGGCAGCAAAGAGCATCCAAG